TATATCACGAATCTAAAGGATGTGAAATAATGAAAGGCAAAAAGCCTATTTTTATTGATTTAGTTGACGAAGACGACGAAGGAAATGACGATACGATTCAACAGAATGAAAGAAATAATGACCAATCGACTCAACAGAATGAGAGAAATAATGATTCCAATGAATCCGGTATGTAGTTATATGAAAAACTATCACAAATCGATTTAGTTTTAACCTGATTTCCTTTTGTAGCTTTACAGATGCAGGTTGAGGAGTTGACTCGCCTGCTTAAAACTGTTACGAAAGGAAAGCAGAAGGTAACTGATCCAAAAGAAAATATTATTAACTGGTCCAACGTGGATCTGGAAACTCAAGGTCCAAAGAGCCGAAAGAACCAGTACGTGACCAGGTCATTGAATAAACCTAAATATGTGCAAAAATACAGTATACCAGGATCATCAAAAAGCGTGCGAAGCAGACTATCTCCATCCCCATCCCCATCCTCTTCCTCTTCATCTTCATCAACTTCATCCTCACCATCCTCAAAATCGGCACCATCCTCAAATTCAGCGCCATCCTCAAATTCATCATCGTTTCTTTATTACGAAGAAATGAATAGGGATCAGAGGAATGCTTTAAGAGTACCGTATTTTATTTTAATTCATTTTAATTATCCGAATTGCTGCTAATCAATTATGAACCGTATTTTATTTTAATTCGTTTTAATTATCCAAATTGTTGCTAATCAATTATGATAATCTCACGATTAGGGTGAAATAGTCGGAATAATGGACCGACTTCCAGACGATAAAAGTCTAAATATAAAAAAACCTTTGAAAGTCAACGAAAAAAAGTGAATAATATCATCTTGGTTGTTCAAAAATCAATTAATAAGAAGTTCTTTCCGGTGACCGATGGCGTCATTAAACATGTCATTCATGAACGTCATCGGTACTAACGGGAGGAACTTCTTAATGCAAGACGAGGTGCAAATTGGGTAGAAAATGATAAAAGAAGGCGGCACGCAAATTCCCGACGAAGTGATGTAAATATTAAATTATTTTATTTGATATTACCTTTTCTTATTAATAAATATTTCCTATTATTTATTTAGAAACGTAAAAGAAGATCAAAAATCATCGACAAACTAACCACGTTAAAGGACCAATTGGTAGATAAATTCTACGATGACGAGCTCTGACCTGTTCAGACTGAAAATCGATACCACAGTCCGGAGGAATCGGAGACCGATGAAGACAACCCAAACAAACATAAGATCGTCATCCGAGATCTCAAATGGAGATCGTCTTCTGTAAGTATTCGAGTAATTTTTACCAATCGGTGTATCTTAATTTAATACTATTTTTATTTGTATAGCTACATACATTTCTTCGAAATTATGTCGATAGTGTGGCTTTATCAAAGTCTTGACGTGTAAGAAATCAGGAGTATGGTAATTACGCAACTAATGAAATCGATGTGCCAATTAACGCCCCACGATGAACTAAAGACGGCTACAATGGATCCCTAAAACAGCTTATCGAGAAATATAGTGAAAATAAATGCTCTCCTCCGGAAGAAGCTGACGAAAACCAGGATCCACTGGAAGAAGATGATCAGGTCGGAGAAGATGAAAATCAAGAAGTTGTTGACGAAAATCAAGAAGAAGTTGACGAAAATCAAGAAGAAGTTGAAGAAAATCAAGAAGAAGTTAACGAAAATCAGGAAGACGAAGAAGAGGATCAAAATAAAAATAAAAGAGGTGTTAGTGTTGTTTCCTCTGAATATGATAGTATCAGCAGCGAATAGTGGAGTAGTCAAATTATATAAATAACAATTTTAGCAATATCGGTATTTCAATAAAACCGATTTTTTAGTATATTAAATATTTTAAATATTTTAAATAAAATCGTAAATTTTCGTAAATTTTTAAATAAAAATGTATGGCAATCGGAAGATTTGAATTCGGTCACTTGATTGGTCCCCGATTTAACATCGTTCGACTAGTGTCCGTCAATATTGATCACAGAAAGATGGCTTACCACCATTTGATTTGTCTTGATGAGACGGTTCTAATGGTATAAAATACATCGAAATACAATCACTAGATTAATTTTTGAAATTAAAAAAATATTAATGGTTTTTGTGTAATAACTCTGCCAATATTGATCTTAGAGCGATGAGCTTACTACCATTCGATTTGTCTTGATGAAACGAATCTAATGATATAAGATACATCGAAATCCAATCACTAGATCAATTTCTGAAATTAAAAAATATTAAATGGTTTTTAAGTAATAACTTCGTCAATATTAACTACAGGAATATGATCTTATTACCATTCGATTCATCTTGATGAGGCGATTCCAAAAAGCTATTAATCATCTTTTTATAATCACTAGGTATTAAGAAATTTAGCAAAATGTTAAATGGCGCAGTAAACGTAAATCAAGAAATATTATAATGCCGATGTTAAACATTTTGTTGAATAACTCATCAACCAGTGATCATAAAAAGATAAAACTACTACTATACATGCTGCCCAAATTATTTTGGGATACCATAATTATAATTTGGGATGCCATAATTCATTCAGTTTATATATAATTTACTATGTAAAGTGCCAAAATAATTTGGGATGCCATAATTGAATTTGGGATTTTACTTATAATTACGGCAGTCTAAAATAATTTGGGTGGCATGTATAACTACTACCATTCGATTCGTCTCAGTGAGATGATTCTAACAAGCTATGGTACATTTTTGTACGATCATTATATGTCAAGTTATTTAATATATTCTTTATATAACTGTAATTATAAACGGTTCTTTTTAATATAAGATTTTTGAGGATAGGTGTGATAGTGATTATAGATAGATTGTGACTATATAGGATAGATTTTAATAATAAAGTATTTTGAACATTCAACTGGTGTGACTATATAGTAGAATGTGACTATAACGGAAATAACTATAGAGGAAGTTAACTGTATATCAGAAAAATAATAAAAAAGTATATATAATAATTATAATATATTTAAAATTTTAAGTTTATTTAAAATAATTCAATAAAATTTAATTTTTAAAGATATTTAAAATACAATTAAATCTTTATAATCTTTATAAAATCATCTTTTCAGTTCTGCCAAATCATATATAGAAAAAATTGTATTATTTTATAATACTGATCAAAATTATAGTATTTGACCAAAATTATTCCATATAGCTAAAATTAAAATAGTTTATAGTTTAAAATTAGATAGATAGAATCAATTGGTTTTATAAATTGTAATCTAAATTGTGGTTTTCTGTAATTAATTATAAAAAAATTTCTGATTTGATTTGTTTATTTTACTATTAAAAAAAAATTTTTTTTTATCATAAATTTATTAATTTATTATAATCAGCTTATCAATTTAATAAAAAGATAAATTAATTAATTATTTTATTAAACCAATTAGTTTATTATTAGTTTTAAAATTAAATTAGTTGAATTATTCTATTAATTCAAATTAAACTATTATTATATCATATTATAGATTAAAATATTTTCTTTTTACTATATATAATATTTTTCTCTCTTTCACTTAAAAGTAATCTCCTTTTTCTATTAATTTGTTATTTAAATAATTTAATTTTATCCAAGTAGTTCATACAAATATTTTTCTAATTATTATACAAATTTTAAACATTTTATATTAATAGTAAAAATTTATAGAAGAAATATGGTAAAGCAATACAATATTAAAAAATTGGTTTTTATTTCATGGATTTAAAATTTTAAGGTTGGTAATTAGTATTTTATTTAAAATTTTATATATTTGTAAAGTAAAAATAGTAATCCTAAATTTAAAATTTTTTTTTTTTCTTTTTTAAATAACCTACTAACTATTAATATTAAATTTATTTTGTAAGTTTTTAAAACTAAGTCAGCAGTTATGAGAAACAATTTTTTAATATTATGTCACCTAATACAAAGTCAACTTTTCAGATTTTATATTATATTTTGAATACTTTAATCTATAATAATTAGGGTATTGCTAAATATCACCAGTGGTGACGGTCACCAGTGGTGGATTTATGATGTAATGCCGGTCAGTGTTTTATTAAATTTTAATTCAGGCCAAAAGTGCATCTTAATGCTGGTATAGTGACAATCACTGCTGGTGAGCTTTAGCAATTTTCTAATAATTATATACAATATTTATAATTAAATTTTAGTAATTATAAGGAAGTTTAGTTACTAATAAAATAATATATAAATTAAAAAATCTGTGATAATAGTAATTAGTAATTATAATTAATTTGTTATAATTATATAAAGATTATATAATATATAATTATAATAGATCTTTATAATACTACATATTAAATCTTTTTAAATTAATTCTATACTTGCTATTTAATAAATTATTTGGATTTTATAAAAAAATTCTATATATTTTTCATATTATTTTTCTATATTTTCGATAAAATATATCAAGTTATAACCTTAATAAAGGTCCAAAACTATAAATCATAAATTAATATATGTGATGAAAAAAGTAATAATTTGTAATTAGTAGTGAATTATTAAATATAATTTAATTTATCAATTTATCAAAAATACTAATATAATAAAAAAATTTATTTAATTAATTATTGACTAAGAAAATCGAATTCAGATAATCAGATAGCTCATCGTCGTACATTTATAAACAACAATGTATGTCAAATATATGAAATATCTGAATTGAAAATATAAGAAACTGAAATTACTTTTAATAGGTTATATAATAAATTAAATATACAATATAATTACAAATCAAATTGTTATTTTACATAAATGATTGATCATAAAATATCACAATATGATCCCACGATATAACTTCTCATTCAACATCAAATAATAGTATTTTTTACGGATTGTGATTCTTTATCTATAATGAATCACGTGGAATTACAGGTATGCAACTATGCATACGAAACAGTTACCAATTCCTTGGAACCGAATAAACTATTTAAACGATCTTTTTTATCAAGAGTGATTTGCAAATGCTCATTGACAGTTTGGTGACACGTATCATTTATCAAAATTTCCATGTTTAAATGAATTTTTTTGTTTTTTTTTCGAATAATTTTCCGGTTACATAGATTTATGGGGCGGGTTTTTGATAGATTATTTTTATTTTTTTTTTTTCTACGAAAAGATTCTCTAAATAAAATATATAAAGCAAAAGCTAATAAATCTATTTATAAATAATTTAATAGAATTCCTTTTGAAAAGGAAGAATTTGATTTTTTTGCTCCGTCAAAAAAATTCTCGAACAATGGAAAGTTCGGGGGGATTAACCGGGAGAAATTGACTATTTTTATGTAAGTTATACGTAGTCTAAAATCTAAATTAGGTATACATATATAATACAACATGAGTCTGTGCTATTAAAGGTTAAAACAAAAAGAAAAAAATTCAAACTCAACTAATACAGTTTTACTTAAATTACATAAATAAACAATATTTTTTTTTTTTTTCCACAAAGTATGCGAGTCTCCTCTAATCCAACAAATTCTACAACACGAGCTCCTTCTCCTTCTCCCTTTTCTTCTGTAATACAACAATTATCTCGTTCAAATACTTTCGCAACCTTGATTCAATCACTAAATAATAACAATTCGTCCAGTAGGAGTGACGGGTTGGACGAAATATTTAACGCACGGATACTGCAGCATGCAGCTACCACAAGCAGACCGACTAGTAGGGCTGGAACTTTGTCTTTACATAGAAGAAGTTCAGCAAGGGATCACAGAGCGATGAAAAGGAAATGGAGAAACACGCATGGTACTAGTGGAGAATTTGCATTAGGATTTGAAATCGTGTACTGTGACGGTGGTAATTACAGGTATGTTGCGGTACTATTCTAATTGGTCCGAGCGATTGCAAGTTTATAGCAATAATTTCGAACTTAGGCTAGTGTCATGGTATTAGGTAAACATTCAAACCATAGAGACGTCAAGAGAATGTAATGCTTGTAAAAATACACGTCTTACATTCGTGAACGAGGGTTTTGAATTTACCTATAGATTCGCGACTCAGTCAGTTATTCAATATTAGCATTAGTAGAAATGGCAAAAAAAATTAATTCCAGACAGTCGAATATTTACTTATTTTAAATTAATTTTATTTTAGTCCGGCATATAACGTGGATAACATATTAAAAAATGATACTGCAGTCTACTGGTAATTTTTCTTTCCATTATTATGTTTCAATTTGTTTACGATTAAAATTGCTAATGATTATTTCGATAATTAGTTCAAAGAAGAGTAACAATGTTAACATTATACTAAGATTCAGTGATCCTATCTTGGGAGTTATGGATCCGGCATTTGTACTTTCAAAAGTTATTGTAAAAGCTCCTACACATGGTTTTACCGCTCCATGTATGTTTTCAATTTTAATACTTAACTTAGCATATTGTTAAATATTATGCGAAAATTATATTCATTTTTTTTTGTTTGATAGGTAAAGAAGGATTAGTTTTTGTCTCTCATGATCCTATATCAATTGAAGGTAAGATAAATCTATAATAATATACTTTCCTTTTTTTAATTATATTAATTTGTTCATCTTTTATAAATAGCCACGTTAAAGTATGATGATTTTACTGAAGCTGATTACCGAGCATTATATGAAAGTGGCAACGTAGACGATTCCTGGCCTGCAGCATTTTTCCGATTAGATTCTAGAACAAATATGACGACTCAAATCTTGCAACCTAATCGGTAAGCAAATAAATTTTTTCTTTTTTTTCTAATTAATTAAATTATATACTAAAGTTCATCTTTAAAAGATCGGGTAAATATATTTTGGTAAAATTACTTCGAGCGGAAGGCGACGCGGATAATATTGATCTTCAATATTTAGGTTTAATTGGATTTACTGGACCGAGGTCATTTGATGCTGGTTCGTTGAGATAGACTGAAAAAATTGGTTGATGAAAGGAATTTTTCATTATTGCATATATATGTATAGGTTTCATTTAATAAAAAGAAAAATGTGCCTATAATGGTCATTTTTCTTTGATTTAGGTTATTAAATAGTTGCAAAAAGTATTTATTTTGTATGTATCATCAAGTTTTAAAATTTGTACAAAGGACATTTTTTCCTATTATATATAACTTATTATTTTAGTCTACCTTTTTGAAAAGGTTAACATTTAAATTAAAAATTCACTCCCCACTTTTTATATACATTTTTTTTTAAAAAAAAGAATTTAAAACAAATAATAATAATCATAATAAAGTAAAAGAAAAAATTTTTTAATAATTTAAATTTTGAACAATGCAGGAATTGAATTAATTTTATAATTTTATAAATAAATATTGAAGTATGTCAAAAATTTCATATTACATTAAATTTTAAGAGTCTTTTTTGTATCTCTATTAATTTAATTTCCATTAAGATTTAGATTTAATCTAATATTACGTATAGCATGTCCATAAATAGTTAATAATAATTCATTATTTTCATTGGTTTTAATGTTTGTAGTAGGTTCACGTTCATGGGACAAAATTTTAACCTTAATATTACTACTATTTTTTCCTTCTTGTATATACTTCTCGTTTTCTTCTAATATTCTACTTAATTCAACACCATTTTCATAGGTAATCAGTACACATGGTATTTCAAATTTCCATATATCATTTTTTTCTGCTGCGCTAGCAGGTTGAAATAAATAATTCTCATTACTCCAAATAACAATTCCTTTAGCTCCAGCTTGTTGAGCTTTTAATACTTTGTCTACAAAAGTACAATTTCCTCTTTTCACGAATATTATATTACCCTCAATAAGTTTTGTTTCTTCAATGTTATAATCCACGCATCCATAAAGCGATGATGATACACTTACAAGTGTTCTTATGGGAAGTTCGCCAGTAATTTTAGGTCCAAAAGATGCTACAGCTGCAATATAGTCTGCATAATTGTAAGCATTATAATTATTCTCATTATAAAAGTAAACTCGAAGGACCGATGTTTGATATGTTTGTTGTTTTACCCAAAAATCTTTTACTGCTGGATCTCTTATTTCAAAAGTTTGTCCAGGGAAGACTCTAAATAAAAAGAATGAAGTTAATATAATATAATAAAATTAAATGTAACACTATAAAAAAATAATCATTATATTTAAACAATTCAATTTACTATAATAGCGAAATGTATACCTGTAATTATCAACTAATAAAGGAAATAAGAAATAAAAAACATATTATTTAATGATTTCTTAAAAAGAAAAGAAAAGTAATAATAATAATAATAATAATAATAATAATAATAATTATAAATAAAAAATTTATTACATACCTTTTGTAACATCATACCCTTTTTTATCAACCCGTTTTGTCAGTTCTAATTTCAGCCCTTTTAACCGATTAGCAATTAAACCATCAACGTACTTTATAATTTGTTGTTGTTGTTCTTGTCCTTGATAAATCAAATCATCTTCATGAGATTCTTGCAGACCTCCAAAACTAACTTCTATCACTTGTGGATCTGATTTTGGTACTTCACATATACCCTTAGGATCCAAAAGTGGTAAAGTTCGTTCCTCAAATCCAACCAGTTCTCTTGCAAAATCTGCATCTGATCTTGACGTTATTACTGAAGTAGTGAATAAATGTTTCGAAGGTGACGGTTTTTCATAAATAGAACAAAATGAACGCTCAGCCCCACTCATACTAGGTCGTATTTTTGAATGTTTTTTGAGATATTTTTGTGGTAAGAATATTAAATGCGCCTCTAATTATTTAAAAAAGATGGTTATTCACAAGGATTGAAACATAAATTCCAAAAATACACAAAAATTAATGCCTACCAGTAGTAAAGATAAAGTTGTCGTCCATACTGTTTATTTTGTTTTCTTTTTTGTTTAAAAAAATTAAATAAACAAATTAGTCAAAATAATTAAGAGTCTTTAATAAAAAATTTAGGTGCCAAATAATTACCAGTATCAAATAACAGATATAAATATTTGAAAGTTTCACTTAAAAGAAAACTTTCCATACGTTCGTCAAGACTTTTTGTTAACACATCTTTAATACTTGCGAATCCACAATTAACACGTGCATAATATTCAAGATCTTTAAGAACCATTTCCCCAACTTGCAAATAAAATGGGTCTCTTGTTGCCTAACGAATAGAAGGTAAATAAAAATAATTCCGAAAATTTCTTATAAACCATTATAATATTTTATATTTATACATACTCTATAAAGAAAATAAGTAGATTCGATAAATTCAGGACGTAACGGATAAGTTGCCAATTCAACATTTCTTAAATGAAAATTAAATCTTTCTGGCATAGCATTGTATTTTTTCCAAATGTTATAATATAATAAATGGGATTTTATGGCATTGTCCAAATCACCAGCCAAAACCTAAAAAAAAAAATAATAAATTCTTTATATCTATCAAATAAACATAATTTTAAAATTATTTATTCTTTTACCTGCAAACCTGGAAAATAGGCAGATAAACTATCCACCCAGTTAGACATTAATCCCCCATTCATCATATTAACATTCCTATACAGATATCCTGTTTCATCTTTAACATATCGGAGAACAGAATTATAAGCCTCATTAAACATATCCAAATATTCTGTCTCTCCGAAGAGCACGTAGGCTTTTAACAAGTACTCATAAAATGAATCTATTCCTGCTCCTGTACTAGATGCTGTATGTATCCATTGTCCTGTTTGTACGTTTATTACATTCCCAAGAAGATTCAAATCTGTTCGTCGATTCCATAAGCCGAACAGAGCCTTTTTTGCCGCGTCCTAATAACATAGTTATTTTTTTTTACATTATAATTATACTCACAATAATAAAATTATTAGTTTATTATTTATTTATTTATTATTATTATTATTTTACCTCAAATCTAGTATCATTTGTTAATCTACTCAGAACACCAAATTCTATAATTAATGTGCCAGCGGCAGCAGTACAAGTTTCATGTGTTTCGTTTATAGGTACTCCATACTTTAGATTAACCTATATTTCGCATCCAAATTGATAAAAGAAAAAAACCTTCCATTATCAAATTGAAGAATTATAATTTAATACCTTTAACTTACTAACCCTAGCATAAGGAATTCCAGTCTTTGATTTTTGGAAAGCAGGTAATAACCTTTTACCTAAATCGTGAGCTAGTTTCAATAACTCATTATTATATCCTTTTATACTATAGCCAAATCTTGGATCTGTAATGAATAAATGCGCCGACAACTTTTTCATAAAATAATATATTAAAATACGAATAAATTATACAAAGTTAATACAAATGATTTAACACACTATCACATACCAATGCTCCTAATGCACGAATATTCACTTCAAATACTTGTACTTTATTATCTTGATCAAATGATACATATTTTATTACATCACGGACTGCTTTCTCAAATCCTTTCCTATCATTAAATACCTATATAATAAATTAATTTTATATATGTTTTAATAAATATATTTTCCTTTTGATCTATTCAAAATAAGAACAACACATTACAACAAACGTATCCAAACAATCTACTAGCGTTAATGAATAGTCTCCTAACACATCATTTATTATAGTATTATGTCTAAAATTTATTTGAAGACAAAATAAAAATCGAATCAATAAAGATCATAGATGAATACAAAATATTAAAAATTTAACGAATTAAAGATGAAATTGACTATACTTGCGGATCATTCTTATCACTTCCTCTACCAGTACATTGTAAAGGATTTAACTAGAATTTATAGAATGAAAATAAATAAGAAAACAACTTAAAAGAAAGGTAAATTACACAATAACTACCTCATCGTCCGGAAAAGCATATTTCATATAATTATTAAACGCATGATAAAACATATCCTATGAATTTTTTTTAAAAAAAAATAAAAAAAATTTTGTACAAGAATTTAAACTTAAATAATAATAAACAAACAAATTTTTCTTAACAATGTATACAATTTGTTTTATTTCCAGACACAATTCCTGACTTCCACGAATTCATTTGATAAGATTCATTAAAAAAAAGCAAAAATTGACTCATTATACCTTTGCTTGTGATCTATTAGAAATTTTTGTTAACTTATTAAACAAATTTACTCCCTATTAAACTACAAAACGACTTACTTCAAATCGTTACTTCTCTGTTCACTCATTCCATTAACTTTATTCACCACTACCGATAACATAAATATTATCCAAAAAATTATATAAGCAAAATTATATAAAGAAATATAATGAAATGCTCTTTTATGAGAAGGTCTATTTAATGGTTGCATCCTTTCTCTTATTCTTTTATGTAAGTTTGAACTGAAAAAAACAAAAACGTTGAAAGATGCGGTCAGGATGAGATTTTATGATGCGCAAAATCCGATTTAAAATAAATCCGGAATCGGTAATCGGATGAGATCGGATATCTGATTCTCATGTAATTTCTCGTTTCTTGCTGACATTTGAATCACAAATATCTACGAAGTAATTTACAGGACTTTCTTCTATACCGAAAATTAAGTTCAAAGGTCTTATATAGTCGCCACTGGATATAACGAACCTTTCGTTCCAGAATTTGTTATATAATATATACCGAACTAGCTATCTATTCCAAGTAATTAGACCAAATTTGTAGTGCTGGCCAGAATTATACTTTCATTTAACATAGAACTTCGAAATATTACTGATAATTCTGGCCAGCACTATAAATTTGGCTTAGGGTTTCTGTATTACATTCTATTATGAAAATTCGGTATAACCAGAGTAAATGGCGACTGTATAACAAAGAAATAGTAACGTTTCTATAAGGTAATAGTTTATTTTTCCCAATTATCCGGATCAGTCCGATCCGTTAGTGATCGGATAATCCATCTCTAACTGATAGATTGACTTCGTGTTTTTAACTGGTAATAGAACTGCTTTTGGTGTGTAAATTTATCTTAACTATGAAACGAGCAGAGCACCATACAAGACCACATTATAATAGTTATCAGGCCCAACAACAACAGTATTATGCACATCAATATAACCAACCTCAAGACTCTCACTCAGTAATTTTAGTAACTGCAGGATATGATCATACCATACGCTTTTGGGAAGCCCTGAGTGGTATTTGTTCAAGGACCATTCAACATCCTGATTCGGTAAATTTTCATATTATTCCCTTATTTATGAAAAATACTAATATAAAAAATTGATATATTTTAGCAAGTAAACAGGTTATGTATATCTCCAGATAAAAGATATCTTGCTGCAGCAGGTTATTTTTTTTTTCAGTATCATTATAAACAGTTGTTACAAAAATAATTATTAAATACCAAATTTATTTTAGGAAACCAGCATATCCGATTATACGATATTAATAGTCCTAATCCTAATCCGGTAAATTTTATAGTTTATGATTAATCCACTTTTTTGCTCACTGAATCAAGACAAAATTGTTTTATTTAGATAACTTCCTTTGATGGACACACGGGAAATGTAACAGCTGTCGGATTTCATTGTGAAGGAAAATGGATGGTAACCGGTAGTGAAGATGGCACCTTGAAAATTTGGGATACAAGGTAAAGGTAATAAATCTTAATTTTAATCATATTCTTATTTCATGCAATAAAAAAGCTAATGATTTCTATAGAGCGCCATCAATACAACGTAATTATGACCATAAAGTACCTGTTAATGATGTAGCTATTCATCCAAATCAAGGTGAATTGATTTCTTGTGACCAAAAGGGTAGCATAAAGATTTGGGATCTGGGTGAAAATTCTTGCACTCATGAATTGGTATGTATATTTATTTATTTTTAATATCACGTTTTGTTGTGAATAATTTATTTATATTAATTTGTAGGTTCCAGAAGAAGATGTCCCATTGCGTTCAGTTACTGTTGCTATTGATGGATCCATGCTAGTTGCAGCCAATAACAAAGTAATAAAAATAATTACATAATAATATTTTGTTTTTTTGAAAAAATATATTTAACCTTTTAATTTATAGGGTAATTGTTATGTATGGAAAATGTCGAATGCACGAGATTTTACGGATTTGCAGCCCATAACTACTTTCTCGGCACATAAGAGATATATAACTCGGTGCTTATTGAGTCCTGATGTCAAGTATGTTTTATATTTATAACGGTTATTTGCAATGTTAATATTTATAAATTACAATTATATTATTCTTGAAGGCATTTGGCGACTTGTTCTGCAGATACCACGGTTAAAATATGGTCTGCTACAAATCATGAATTCAAATTAGATAAAGAGTTAAAAGGTCATCAAAGATGGGTTTGGGATTGTGCATTTTCTGCTGATTCTGCTTATCTTGTTACAGGTAAATATTCCTATAAGTTGAACCTTTTATTGTTAAAATTTTTGATTGATAATGTATTTTATATTATTGGTAAACAGCATCTTCAGATCATGTTGCAAGGCTTTGGGAATTACAACAAGGAGAAACAATAAGACAGTATAATGGTCATCATAAAGCTGCTATCTGTGTAGCACTTAATGATTTATCAATTGGAAATTAAAATTTGGAATTTATTCAGGTTGAACTATTTTAGTTAATTTGTAATTTTACAATAATGAAATGATTGATATAATGCAAATTTATATACAGTAAATATTTACAATCCTAGATTTTAAATTTTGTATAAATTAATAATTGATTTTTATATTTATTACAAATATTATTTATTATAATTATTTTTTTATAAATCAAGTAAATTGAAAAAATATATGGTATTTTTATAAATATAAATATTTTTATAAAAGATAAATATTTAATTTTATATATATATATATATATATTTTTAAGTATAACTGGGCAGCCTTTATTTAGTTTATAGCAATTGTATTCAATTACATAAAATTAGTAAGATTCCATTTCTACTATACAATAGAAATATCTAGAGATCCTGGGCGAAACCGAAATATTTAGTCATTTGACTAAACCGAAATAGTTTAGACATTTAAAATTAAAAGACGAAATGCCGAAATTCAATATTCCATAGTATTTCCGTGGATTTTTTATGGATTTCCATGGATTTTTAATTATAATAATTACTTATAAAAAAAAAATAACAAATTTATATTAAAATATAATATTTTTTAAAGGAATTTATAAAACTATTTTATGTATAATATAATTTAATATATTTTTATAATAAAATTATAATTTTATATAAATAAAATTTAAACTTAAAAAATATTACTATATAGTTTAGTCAATGATGAAACCGAAACTAGTTGGTGACGAAACTGAAATTTTTGGTAAAAAGAGTTTAGCCAGGTATCACTAGAAATATCCAGTGATACCAGTACAAAATGTATTAAAACAAACTAAAAGAAATAAGAAAAAAAACAAAATGAAATATAAAAGGCATCAGTTAATAATAAAGCTTTTCACCAACATCTATACTCCTAAAACAAGGACAATTTGGACATTCTATTGAATTTATCAAAATACTTCCAGTTTTTTTAACATCAAAAATTTCAATTAAAACCATTAATTTGTCAATATTATTTAAGGATTTGTCAATCTTTTTAATTTGCTTAGCTATTTTTTGCTTTTTATTTAACTGGTTTATATTAGTAATTTTCTTCAAAACTTTGGAATTAATATTCAAATTTACCTTCTGATAGTAATTCCTTCTTTTTTTCAAATTGGAAGTATAATATTACTGCTAATTCCTAGTGAAATCTTGTAAATTGAAAGCTGTACCAAATTTGTTTACAATTTGTAATAAGTAATCAACTTGCTGTTACTTCTATTTTTTATATATTAAACTTTTAGTATATCTGAATATTTTAAATCAAATAAATTAATATTTAAAATACTTTAATTTTTTTTTTTTAAAATTTAAAGTTTATTAATTTTGACACTTGGCTTCATATAAAATAGGTATTACTACACCATAGAAAATACAGAAAATAGGTTAAAATATTTTAATTAATATTATATACTAGTATATTATATATAATATTTAATATTATTAATTAAATATTATAGTAATAATAATTACAATATATTTTTAGTTAAAATTAAAAATCTAACTACTAGTATTATTACTAATATTTTTATTTATATATTTTATATATTTAAAATTATTGCAATTATATAATATTATATTTAAACTAGCTATACAACGAAGTTGATGGTTTGACTAATCAGACCTTCATTATAAGAATAAAATATAGCGAATTTTAATATAATGGAAAAATCTGGTATAATATATGAAGCTTTGGTATATTATGATATATTATAATTATGTACAAAGAACCCCAGATATCTCCAAAACAGGTCATAAGTCACACTTTCGGCAGATTAACCCATTTTTCAGGGCTCAAAAAATCGTTTTTTGTAAATATCTTGGCATCTAGTGATCCAATTTTGATGAACTTTTTTTAAATTGTAGAGCTAAATGAGGGCTACAAAATAAAAAAAAGTTCATTAAAATTGAATCACTGGATGCTGAGATATTTACAAAAAACGGTTTTTTAGTTTCAGCAAAAAGGAATGTTTTTGGCCAAAAGTCCATTATGACCTTTATATTAGATATCTGGGGTCCTACGTACAATATATATTATATAAAATATTATTATTGTATTTAAAAAAAATTTGTTATAAAAAGAAATTCAGTATAAAATGAGTCATTTTATTATGTATAGTTTATAGACTTACTTCGTTAAACAATATACAGCATTTAATTAGTAATATTTATTATAGCAAATTTTTTTTTATATATTAAAATTGGTACAATACTAAAGATTTGTTATACCAAATAATACATTATATTAAAATAAGAGCCAATTGTAAACGAATCCTTTAAATTAATATATAACTTTACTTTTATTTATTAACAGTTATTTGAAGAATTTCTAAATGAATTATATAAAATTATAAATAATAAAAATAATAAAAAATGTATAAACTAATTTGGACTAAATTAAAATATAACTTTTAAAGCTAGTATTCAGATCCATAATCTATTATTAATAAATTATAATAAATATTTATTAATATCAAGTTTATAATTTTAATAGATTTTATTTAAATTCAAAAATTAGTTAAAAAATAAAAAATCTATATTTAAAGCTAAAACTATTATTAATCCATTAAACTTTTTAAGTAATCTATTATTTAATTATTAAACCCTTTAAGCAATCCACTATTCAACTGTTAAAATCTTTATTAAATTATTAACTAACTAATAATCTGAATTAACCTAATAAGAAAACTAAATTAAACTTTTCTCATTAAATGTCAATTTAAATTTATATATATACTACTCAAATTATTTTAGAATTCTATAATTATAATTTGAATTGCTATAATTCATTTAATTTATATATAATTATTAGGACTATTTTAACGCTCACTGGAGGTGAAATTTACCAAAGATGATTTTTATCAGATTACGTGATTTATAATTATTTTTATTAAAATTCGTTTTGAACAAAGTACAATTTTTAATTTTTAACATCTCTAATTATAACGCAATGCATATATACAGTATATTACATTATTGATACTAATTGTTAAATAATCAAATGATTTAATAAACTTGAATGGATAATAAGAGAGTAAAGGTAATGATAAAAAAATGAAAATAATAATGAAAATGTAAAAAGAGTGAAAATGATGGTAAAAGAGCAAAAGTAATGATAAAGAAACGAAAATATGATGAAAACATGTAAAGAAACAAAATAGATGATGAGGGAGTGAAAATGATGATGAAAATATGTAAAGAAACAAAATAGATAATGAAAGAGTAAAAATGATGATGAAAAAACATAAAGGGACGAAAAGATGATGAGGAAGTGAAAATTATAATAAAAAAACGTAAACAAACAAAATAGACAATGAGGGAGTAAAAATGATGATGAAAAAACACAAACAAACAAAATAGATAATGAGGGAGTAAAAATAATGATGAAAAAACGTAAAGAAACAAAATAGATGATGAGAGAATAAAAATGATGATGAAAAAATGTAAAGGGACAAAATAGATGATGAGGGAGTGAAAATGATGATGAAAAAATGTAAACAAACAAAATAGACGATGAAGGAGTGAAAATAATGATAAAAAAATACAAACAAACAAAATAGATAATGAGGGAGTGAAAATGATGATGAAAAAATGTAAACAAACAAAATAGACGATGAGGGAGTGAAAATGATGATGAAAAAATACAAACAAACAAAATAGATAATGAGAGAGCGAAAATAATGATAAAATAACGTAAAGGGATGAAATAGATGATGAGGGAGTGAAAATGATGATGAAAAAACATAAACAAATAAAATAGATGATGAAGGAGTGAAAATGATGATAAAAAAACATAAACAAACAAAATAGATGATGAAGGAGTGAAAATGATGATGAAATAACGTAAAGGGACAAAATAGATGATGAGGGAGTGAAAATGATAATGAAAAAACATAAACAAACAAAATAGACGATGAAAAAGTAAAAATGATAATAAAAAAACATAAATAGACAAAATAGATGATAAAGGAGTGAAAATAATGATGAAAAAATGTAAACAAACAAAATAGATGATGAGGAAGTAAAAATGATGATGAAAAAGCATAAACAAACAAAATAGATAATAAGGGAGTGAAAATAATGATAAAAAAACGTAAACAGATAAAATAGATGATGAAGGAGTGAAAATGATGATGAAATAATGTAAAAGGACGAAATAGATGATGAGGGAGTAAAAATGATGATGAACAAACGTAAACAAACAAAATAGATGATGAGGAAGTGAAAATAATGATGAAAAAATGTAAAGGGACGAAATAGATGATGAGGGAGCGAAAATAATGATGAAATAATGTAAAGAGACGAAATAGATGATGAGAAAGTGATAATAAATGATGAAAGAATGTAAAAGGGATGAAGGAATAATGAAGGAGCGAAAGTAATAATAAAAGTATAAAAGAAACAAAGTGATAGTGATAAGAAAATGATGATAAAACAAAGAGAAAGCAAAAGGAATGATATAGAGAATAAAAAGAATAAAAAACTGATTAGTACTATAACTACTGTTTAGTAATAAAAAAACAATAACAATAAAACAGTAATAAGAAAGCAAACTTTACCTTAAATTCCTTGAAACTATTTGAAATTATTGTTATCTAAAGAAGACGAAGTTAGCAAAAAGCAAGCAAAAAAAATAAAAAAAATCTATTTTCAAAACAAATATTTTAACGTATAAAAAGTGTATAGTACAAAATCACCTGGTGAATTTTACTGGGGTAAAATTAAAATTTTAATAATTTGCAGATCAAGGTGAAATTCACCCTGGTGAAATTCACTGGAGGTGAATGTAAAATTAATCCTAATTATTATATAAAATATATAAATTATACATAAACTAAAATTAGATTAATTTTGATCTTTAAAATAATCAAAATAGCCAAAATTAATTGTTCAAAGCGTAGCGAAGGACTATTTATTGTACAGAACTAGATAAATTTGTAGTACCAGTTTAACCCATGTAATTTTCCTTTCTTTCATCTACGTCATCACCACAATTTCCTTTTTGAAACATAATGCCCCTGCTTATTTCCCTTTATACTTTTTATTTTTAGTAACATTGTATGCAATGTTCTTGATTACTTGCTTGATAAAGCAAAATGTATCATGTTCATTATATATAAAAAA